GTGGACTTGTATAACTAAGTGTGGACAATGCGGACTATGGCATAGCAAATGGTGTTTAAATTGGAAAATTATTGAAACATGCACGTTTGGTAAAGCTGTCGGTAATTAAACTGACACTGATGACGTAGTCTGTGCTCTGCTACCCGAGGAAGCAGCCCAAGTATCGAACTTTATTGTTGATCATTTGTATTGCGCAATCAAAACAGAGCCACCGTGACAGACCGTGGCGCACATGACCACAACTTGCCCTGTGATTGGTTTGCAACGCTGCACCGTGGCAGAAAGTTACTATATTTAGTAACAATTGCGCAATTTTTTGCACGTTGACCGTGGCATTTTGTGGCTGTGATCGCAGCTTCGAATTTACGACTGTTTTCCGAACATATTCGGCACAATTCGGCACGCTTTCGGCGGTTTTTATAGTTCAGTGTTTAACTGGATAATTATACTATTGAACAAGGAATATATTTCGGGAGTTTTTCCTGCTTTTAGCACATATATATTACTGTAATATGAGAACAATTACGAAAGATATTATTCAAATTGTTTGCTATAGACCTATATTTGCTCAATTTTGCTGTATTTCAAATAACTAATGTATACTTCTTAAAAATGCGTAAGCAGTCTAATGTAGTATCCAACAAAGGTGAACCCCGGAAAATCTTAGGTGGGAAAAATCTGACCGTGGCTCGAGCCACTTTTGCCACGGTCTGGATCCGCGCCTGTCACCAAACCGCAGCGTCAAAAATCTCAAAACAAAATCTCTCGGCAGCTGTTTAAGGCTGCGTTCAGACTGAGTGCCCGGCACTGGTGCCCAACGTTCAAAATGGTTCACAAAACATGTTGAGCACAGTGCTGTTGTTGAGTACTACCTCTAGAGGTAGTACCCTTTCTTGGGCACAGTACCCAATTTCATTTGGAAGTATCATGTTCAAATTTGGCGCCAAACAAGTGACGGGCACCCAGTCTGGACGCAGCCTAAGTGATTTTCTTGAACGCAACTTGGGCTCACTTGGCCGCTATATAGGAGAAATACCCGATCGGAATTAGCCTGCGAACAGGCTCTCAAGCTGAAATGAGAGCCTGCATCGATGACTAATGAATTTGAATATCTGCGTCTCAAATCGTGACGCGAAATTCTCATTGGTCAGATGCTATAATTTATATTATTCCGCTGAGCTCTATATATGTCAACTGCTAGCACTATGCATAAAAAACACATTAACTGATCAAATTGGTCGTGGCCATCTTATCTCAAAGCACGGAATGTTCTATTTTGAGAAAACAGTATTTAAAACATGTAAACTTTTGCTTCAATATCTTATATTTCGAAAAACAGTATAAACTGTACGGTCTAAATTTAGTTTGCATGGTCTAAATTTAATTTGCACGAAAGTTGTAAACAACACCATATAAGGATAGACATTCCATATTTGGAAAAACGAACGTTACGGGGCAGATATTCAAATTCATTAGTCATCGATGCAGGCTCTCAATTCAGCTTGAGAGCCTGTTCGCAGGCTAGATCGGAATAAATATGCCACCGAAACATTAGTAAATGAATGCTTTATTGAATGAATGCATTAGTAAATGAATATAACATGGCGGACACACGTAGACTTTTGTGCTCCGTATTTATGTTATACTTTCTCCCTCTTATGTTTTGTGTATACACCTCGGAGATTTTATATGATACTCCTTACATGGACGGAGTTCATAGTGGTTATAAGGGCTTATTTACGGCAAAGATTTATGGTAGAAAGTTCCTTCGACGACGAATAAGGTATTACTCGCACAGTTCTGCTTCGTTCAACCCATGTATATTGGTTCTTGAATTAAGTGGCGATATTCATCCACATCCAGGACCAGTATCCAATCCCAGACGTTCGGGTAAAGGTCGGCACACTTTATTGGTCTTAACAATCAAAGCTCGAAGTCTAAACAACAAACTTCGCGACTTTCAGTCAATGGTGTACACGAGCGATTGTGATGTTGTTGTTGTGAGCGAGTCCTGGCTGACTCCCTCGGTGCTAAATAAAGAAATATTACCGAATGGCTATGATATATATCGCTGTGACAGACAAGATGGCAAAAGAGGCGGAGGGGTATTAATTGCAATAAAAAATTAGATTGAATCTAAATGACGCAAAGAGCTAGAATCGAATTGTGAAATTGTGGTGTGTGAAATACATATTTCCAAAGGTATGAAGCTAATTATATGCGGTTTCTATAGACCTCCCTCGAGCAAAAATGAATATTTAATGAATTTTGGTAATTCCCTCGAGAATATTGTGAGAGACGGTACTCCTGTTATATTATGTGGCGATTTTAATTTTCCTGAAATTGATTGGGAACTGCAAGTAGCACCTGGGTGTGACAACTTACCCAATATTTTCTGCGACATGATAAACGATGCTTTTTTGAGTCAGATGAATTATTCTCCGACAAGGGTTTCTGACTCAACAAGCAACATTTTGGATTTAGTTTTTACAAATCTGCCGGATCAGCTTTACGGTCTTTCAACATTCGATTGTCAACTGAATACCGATCATCTTGGAATTTCATTTTTCCTTAAGACAACTGTGAAGCGAACAAAATTTTCACGTTTTGTGTATAATTTTAAAAAGGCTGATTTCGATGGGTTAAGAGAAACTCTTGCGCACACACCATTTGAAATGCTACTCGACTGTGATGATATCGACCAATGTTGGGAAAAATGGAAAGATGTATTTCTTACTACCGCTGAAATGTTTATCCCAAAATGTAAGGTTAGAGATGCAAAGGCACCAAAATGGATAGATGGAGATGTTATCAATCTCTCTAAGTGTAAGAACAGAATGTGGAAAAAAGCTAAAAAATCTAACTTAACAAGTGATTGGGAAAATTACAGAACTATTCGTAAACAGCTAAAAACGTTGACTAAAAAGAAATATCGTGAACATCTCGCAACTATGCAGGATGAGTTAAAGGATAATCCTAGTAAGTTTTGGTCATTTTACAGAGCCACAACAAAAACAGCCAGGATACCAAAAATTGTTCATCTCAGTGGGGAGAAAGCCTCAACGCCTTCTGCTAAAGCGGACATGTTGAACAAATTTTTTGCGTCCGTTTTTCAAAAATCTGACCATGGAACAGAGATAAATCATGATGTGTTTCATCCTCGAGTTGACGAATTGCATAATTTACATGTTACTGTTGAAGATATCTTGTCTGTATTGAAGGCCATTAATCCTTCAAAAGCTAGTGGACCTGATCAAATTCCTGGACGGATTTTAAAAGAATGTGCAAATGAGATTGCCCCTTCACTTACACAAATAATAAATCTTTCCCTTCGAATAGGAATGTTACCA